GAATATTATTGTTGAAAAAATCAGAACAAAAATAACTTTGCTCAGTAAAATTAGGCGATAAAAACATCGTTTACTTTAATGTGAAAGTACGTCAATAATGACTTTATAATTATATTACATAAACCAAAAATTTTTGAAATTTTTTCAAAAGTTTTTCAAATTTTCAATTTATATTCTGTTCATTCTTTGAAGTAAAGTAATTCGAAAGTACGGGCAAATTTCACATATTTTATAATTTATACTTGCTTTGTAGAAATTTATAATTCTTAATAAAATTACTCTCCAAATATCATTTAATATTTATTCACTTACATCTGTTCAAATATCAAAGCATCCATAATAAATTCAAACTTTCAATATTCACAATTATTTATTTATCGAGGGATGTAGTTGATGACTGACAAATACTTAATCAAATACTAAGATTTGAAAAGTTTTACATTTGAAGTCTGAGATCAATATTATTTGTTATTTATTATCATTTTAATAAGAATTGAAAAAATAATTCAAAATTTGTAATGAAATTATTATTCATTCCACATATGTCTCATGAGCTGATATACTTCATTACATTTAAGTGGTATAAACAATCAAAGATGCTTAATTAAATACAAAATATGAATACTAAAATTGCAGAAAAAGTTGAAAACTAAAGCATTTTTACTTTCTTTCATATTTTATTTCACCTTTATGACATATCTTAATAGATATGTTTTATAGTATATTGTAATTAATTAAATTTTATTATGATTATTCGGTCATTTTCTATCATAAAACGTTTTTAAAAGGAGATAAGTACTAAATACTGAAAAAAGTAAAATAAGAAAACGATGGCAATAATAAGTTTAGAAGAATCATTTTATGAGGTAAGAATTAAATATCAGTTAATTTATCAAATAAATAAAAGCATTTGCTAGAAATTCCTATCTAAAATACATCTAATTTTCACTTTAAAATGTTACAGAATTAGGCGTTATCAATAAATAAAGGCATCCAACAAAAGATTCAATATTTACTTAGTGTGAAGTGAGCTGCAATCTATATTGATTGAATCAAATTTTGATCTAAGCATAATATAGTTGAACCCTTTTAAATACGACCTACATCTGCAATTATATTAACTTTAAAACAATTAAAAATCTTCATGAAGTTTATTGTTGATTTGTTATCTACTTAAGCTCCAAACTTTCATTTCTAAAAAAATTTTTAATAACAAAAAAATAACATGGTCATCATTTCTTATGGCTAAAAAGTCAATACTTTACTCTTTGGTTAGAATCTTCGTAAGAAATAAGTAATTGTGAGTGTTGTCATTGCAACAATTCCATAAAAAAATTTGGTGAGTAAATTTTGAATTACAATAAAATTTAACTTACAAAAATAAATCAAATTTTATGAAATTTGTGAATTATAAAATAATATAAGCAAAAATTAAATCAAAAAAAGAATATTTACATATTGACTTTTGGGAAAATTTCGAAGTAGCGATGTAGAAGAGATATCAGTAATTTGCATATCAGTGATAGCTTTTCAGATATCAATAATTTGCATATCAGTGATAACAATTTCAGTTGAAATGAGAAGCCATTTTCAAATAGTTTTTTTTTTCAAATTGATAAAATCTAACAATTTCTTAAATATAACTATTCCGCGCATTTAATGACAATAGATAACATTCTACTTTGCCATAAGTGCTCATTAACTAATTTAATGAATTTTAGCTATAGTTGTTTTTTATTTGCATTTCTTGAACATTTTTTTTTCAATTTTCTGTGTATTCAATAATTTTTCTTAGCAAATTTGACTGCACTAATTCGCAAGAAATAAAAAATATTATTATAAATAAAAATGAAACAGTTTTTTAAAAACAATTAAGTCGCAAATCAGATGAGTATTTTTGTCGAAATTCGCAAGAATATTTTTTAAATTTTGTTCTTAAAATGACTAATTCTGTAATACAATTCAATGTGATTAGCATTTTTACTAGCATTCCAGAGCTATTTTATTTCATATTGATTCTAATATCTTTACTAGACAGACTACTCTTGTTATTGCCATTCATAAAATGCAATAAAAGGACTAAACATCGAGAAGGAATTTTTTTAAGATCAAAAATTATGTCTGAAAAAATAAGCAGAAGTCAGTGTAGTGTAACATAAAACTGCTTTTCTGTTATCCAATGACTTTGATTTTCTTCAAAAACAAATTGTGTAAATTATTAAAACAATACGTGAAGTGAAGTATTCCACTAATTTAAATACATTTTTTGATTGTTCTGATTCAATTTTTGATAAAGTTAATAATTTCCATACAAGATCATCTTCAAATACAACAGCTCTTTTTGTACTGTGAGTGTACTTTACTTACTGACTTTGATAATTGAAAAGCAGAACTTTACAAATGCAACTAAAATACCATCAATGTAATTCAAAAAATACAAAAATTCATTTTATATAAAATTCACGAAGCTTTCTGATTGCATTGAGAAAATTCAGTCATACAATTATTTATTGTTAATTATAAATTTAGTATTTTTTGTATTTTGCGCAATTTTTTTACTTCACTCTCATAATATTCTATTCTGACATTGCGAAAAGTGCAGTGAATACAGTTTCCATTAAAGAAGCTCATCACCTTCAACTACATTAAAGAATCAGAAGTAATTTATTGAAAAAAT